TTCGGACCGAACATCTGATCTTCACACGACCTCTGCCTGGGTTGTGCCTTTAATGAACGAAGGTGTGGCTGTTAAGACCCTTCGCGATCTTGGACTCTACCTCCTTGTTTCGTTGCTACAGGTGATCTGAGATCGACGTGAAAAGTTTATTCTAGGTGGATCTGATAGAAAAAGAGGGTACAGGAGGATCGCGTGAAAATCGCAGATGGTTTCAATGTAACGTAATTTCGGCGGAGAATCCCTTATGGTTTGAGGCACCTTTGAACGACTGAGCGGCTAGAGCTCGCTTTTGTTTCCTTTCAGAGGATTCCATAGGGTATCGTGAAGTTCTTTTGAAGCGACTTTTACCATTTTTTCGACAACATCCCCTCGATCCTTGATTTTTACGCACGATAACGCGGCTGTCCATGCCGGTCCTTCCACGCCAGATGGAATTGCAGGAAAAAATGTGGCAGTTATCTGGTGGCCACCATGTTATCTGAATCAGATTCCAATAGAGAATCATTGGGCCTTAATTGTTATAAAGTTCCACAGCAAAGTAAAGCAAAATGGAACAGCCGAAAAGCTGAAAAGGTCGATCATCGGCGCCAGACGAATTTCGATCCTACTGTAATAGCTAATTTGGCTACCAGCATTCCAAAACGTATTATTGTGTTCCTTATGATTATTGGAGGACCATCCCATTATTGAAAATTCGTGACGTTTTTTTTGTTATAGTAAAATCTCTCGACAAGTGATGTGTAGTCATATTTGCGAAACGGTGAAAATACGTTCTAAGGAAGATATTTTAATAATTCTGAATCGAGATTTCTCCAGAAATCAAGTATCAAGGTTTTTCGTTATGGGGAAACTATTGGTAATAGCGGCATTTTCCAAAAATGCACAGCAACTTTGGAATAGCAAAAATTTAGGGTGGACCTATATTTATGAAACGCAGTGTATTTGTAGCTGGTTAGACTATTCCGAATGTTCCATCAATTTTTCAAGAACTTTACGGTAGAACTTTCGGGACTAGGTCCGACCGACAGCGGTCAACCACCGAGTTCTGGCTGGATAACTGAATTTCAGAAAGAAAGATGTGGTTTGTTGGGCATTCCAATAGTGGGAAGGAAGTACATAGAGGTAGTGAGTGAGAACACGGTATATTATTTAATCTTCTTCAATGAATCTTCCAAGGGGACATAGAATGTGTGTTATTAGCCGGTGAAGTGGTCTACTGAAGGTCCCTCCTTTGCAAGCCTGTAAGTCAGTCAGTTCACTATAAACAGAAGCGATTAGAGCGCTTTGTAGAGCGCACAATTCTCTTTCAAACAGTGCCTGACATTATGTGTAAAGTGTGGGATAGGGGAAATTTTTCTGTTGAATAAAATCGACGCTATAGGACAACCTAATAGTGCTGGAGTAGCTCATAGGCCTATATCAGACTTTGCGAATCAAGCGATTCGCTACTCGCTGGCGTCGCGGTTGCGCTGTACCAGCCAATGAGTGATTCACTGGCCGCGACGCGACCGCGGACGCTAGCGAATCGCTCGATTCGCAAAGTCTGACATCGGCCAACCAGTGGCGCAACACTATTGTCATCCAAGAAGATTACAGTCATTGCTCTCACTTTTCTGTAAGAAAGCAAGAAAATTATAAAAGAAGTGAGGTACTGGGAGAAGACTCCCTTTCTGCCCAGCCGAGGTAGTAGGAAGACTGTTGAGCAGGATTCAATAGGGTCTTTCTACATCAGGAGCACAATCACTAATTTACGAGAGAGGAGCAAACCTCTGTGAAATGGTGCAATTTTGATCCCTGGGTCACGTAAGTCGAGAATCCTTTTGATCAGATATTGCAGCCAATCTGTCTCTTGTACGGGAAAGCCATTCCCTTGGAGCTCGCTCACCATAGGCATGCCAGCAAAATGAATACCTGGCATTCTTGGAGTCACAAGAAGATCTATTCTACAAACTTGCAGCAAAGAGGAAACTCTGAGCTTGGGGTACTTCTGCAATTTCAACCCCTAGGCACCACGGAAAGTTGAATTTGAGAGTAGGAGGTAGCTTCACTCCACACCAGTACAGTGCACATCGGGGAAATTGTATAGGCGATAAAGAGTGGTCGCTAAGCGTTTACTAACTCCAAAGTTGGCTTCATTTTTGGGTACTTTTCAACGGGAGGCAATGTCAATTTTATCTTCAGCGAAGAGTTCTTTCGAAGAACTTTCGCATTGAGTGGCTCTAACTAAACTTGTGTATTCTCTTTTGCTCTGGGTCTCTGTGTAAAAGTACTCCTAGTTTGAGACCTGTGCTCCGGAATTAGAGTCACTTATGCATTTAATTGTACACTCTGAGAAAAAAGGAAATCTATATGTTCTGACAAATTTGTGGTTAGAACATCGCAAATAATAACTTTTATTGCAATTTGTTGAATAAGCTGTCGAAAAGCACAGATTTTCGCACTCTTCGCTCCTTTTATGTATTTCAGTGAAGAGATGCGGTTCCGCCATCTTGTCCCGAATCTTCCGGACGTCGTTATGCGACGGATCTTCGACTTCTTGTCTTACAAGCAGTTGTGCAAAGCCGAGTGCGTATGTAGGCGATGGCAGAATATCGTCTTCTCCATCATGCGTCGCAATGTGCATGAGATTACAATAGATCGAGTAAGAGCCATTTGGAATGTTTTCTGTGACATAGCTTCGCAGTGTCAATGGTGGAGCCCACAAATTTCTCAACCTATACTAATCTAAAAGGTTCGCACAACAGGTCAGAAAAAAAAGATTCATTGAAATACTCTTGAATGTGCGTCTGACAGAAGCAGAACAGAGATGATGCAGAGCCTTGCCAAGCAAATGTAACGCACCATGGTATACATATTTTGACATGTGTCATATATAAAAACAAAGTGTAATTGCCTCTTTGGAATCTACTTCCCTAGGCTTCATGTGACGTGGTTGGTTCGTCTCGAGCCACTTGTTGAGAGGTAGTTTGGTGTCCTAACAAAACCGAGCTCCATTTCAAGCTGGGGGAGGGGAGGGGAAAATCAAGGACAATTTTATGTCAGTGTCTCCTTTCTGAACTCCTTTTTACCGTGACTTTTATCAAGGTTCGAAAGAATGTTTGACATCAATCGCATTCCTATTTCATTTTCCAAATTCTAATGGAGGGCTGGAAGTTTGTCGAGCAAGGTTCTGTATCATATTGGTTAAAGCACTACAAACACATGTGGGAAATACTCGCATGTTGATATTCACTGGATCAACATGGGCGCCGTTCGTGACTCGGTGTTTTTTCATTTTTGGGAGAGATTCAGAAGCGATTTGAGGGCGCCACCTTACTCCCGCTTATTTTCTGTTAAAATGCACAACAACTTGAATCTCATAGAATTATTTCGGCAAGGATGAAAGCATAAAGGTTAACTATATAAATAGCAGTAGATTTTTGTTTAGAAGAACGCATAATGACCACGAAGAAGCAAAAAACATCACTTTCGCTGCGAATGAAGTTAAAAGCATTTATACCTAAGTTTTTCCATCAAATACAAATATCTTGAAACTCACAGAGTTTTGTATTAACTGCTTCTACAATCTTTCATATGAATGTTTACGACAGTGAAAGGAACTAGGAAAGAATTGAACTGAAAGTTTCTGTGAGTTCAGAAAATTGCTAAATCAAGGCATATTTGACCACTCTGGGGCCATGCAGTTTAATAGGTCGCAACGAAAGTAATTGCGGATTCGACCCTCAATTTCAAAAACTCATATTTTTCTTTGAATTGAACTTTATTCCGAATAATAATTCCCACAAGTACCTACAACAGTCCGCCATCGGTCGACAAGGAAACAAATGCCTCTCCTTCAAAATTCGGCAGGCTTCGAGTCGAAGAAGTGCCCATGTCCGCTTTCAACTATTGAAAGTTGTCGTAGTTTTTATCCTTTGAGAAGTGAGCCAGGGAAAGGAGTGGGTGGTAATCCGTAGGTGCAAGACCTGGCGAATATGGAGGATGGGGAAACCGCAGATCCAAGTTCCGCCAATGTGTCCTGGGTTACCCTTGCAACATGGGTCGCGCGTTGTCATGAAGAAGAAGGACTTCGTCCAGCTCAGGGCGAAGTTTCGCGACTTCAGCTGCGAGCCTTCGTGGTTGTGAGCAGTACACCTCGGCGTCGACGGTGGTATTGTCTGGCATCTCGTAATGACGTGTTCCCCGAACTCTCCACCAAACTGACAGAGGAACTTTCTTGGGATGAACCTCCTGCTTTGGAACAGGCTCTGGCTTCTGGTTCGCACCCATTCACTGTCTTCTCTGGTATGACATACGTAGAGCCCCCACCTTTCATCTCCAGTAATTACATTATCCAGCCAATCGAAACGGCGACTCCTTGCAAGAAAACCTCTGCACACCCCGATACCTCTTTTCTTGCAATGCTCTGTCAGCTCATGAGGGATCAATCGACCAAGTTTCTCAACTTTTTCCAGCTTGTGATGAACACGACCTGTGGCCATGTTGAAGCACTGCATCTCCTTTGCCAGCTCCTTGGCGCTTGCATGCGGAAAGTCTTGAAGTAACAGCTCCAAACGTTCGAAATTGACTTTGGACGTTGGGCGTCCATCTTCGAGGTTGTAGTTTCCTTCGCGGAACCTTCTGAACCAAAGTTGGCAGGTTTTTTCACTTACCACTCCCTCTACTTCCACAGAGCATATTTTGCGGCAGGCTTCGCTCGCTGTGTGTCCCAGACAAAATTCGCAAAGAAGTCAGTGGCGTACATGGGTAGAAACGTATGGCATTTTCCAGGCTCCAAAAAGCGTGCAGGAGGTGAGACTTGAGAATATGAAGGAATATCACTATCCCTATATATGGTTCGAAAATTTTCCTTGTAGGTTGATGTGAACCATTTGCCAGGTTTTTGAAAAATTCCGCAAGGACTTTCGTTGCGAGATAGTTATGCTGACGTACTGTCTATAGAACGAATACAAAAAAACTCGAGAAGAAGGAGCGCAAGCACGATAAAAATGAAGTGACATAGTTTTGACGCGCATGCGCGTCAGAATGTCCGATGCGGTGCGAAATTGACTGACGCGCATGCGCGTCAGCTTCTCATCAACACATTAAATTTATCTTCAGTTCGGGTCGTCGAAACCATCAGTGCACCAGGTGGTGCCCTTTCCATCGATTATCGGTAAGCTGTTCACCGGACTCATTTGACTTCCTTGCCGGAGTTATAAGAAGGTGAGCAGCTTTCGAAGAACTTTTGGTTGGAAGTAAGAACTCTTCAAAGTGTGATTTAAGTTATCATGCACCTGTGCTTGCTCCTGTAGGTGATCGAGGGCTGCTTCAAACGACCTTTAGGCTCGCTGTACTAGCTCGAAAACATCGAGGCCTACCTTGCGAGTACTGTCGTCGTCTCCGCGAGCTTCCCGACCACGACAAAGACGGTCCTTGTGCTTTTTCGCTTGTTACAGGGGTCACAACGTAGCGTTCTCACATAGTGTCATTCCAAAGCAGTCCTGAAGCGCGACGCTGGCTGTCCAGCCAGGGATTTTTGTCTCTATTAGAACAGGACGGAGATCCATTCCTTTCCCTTGTGTCGCAAGCTTGTACTCAACGCCGCACATCACCAGCGGTCGAAGTACGGTACAGCTGGCCTACAATTTCAGGCGTTCTGATGATTTTATCAAGGAAAACGTCACCGTATAGGCGCCATTCAACCAAGCAGCTCTGACGCTCGAGTTGACTCGATAGCGTGTACCATCAGTCCAAAGCGTACCTGACAGAAGTACTTGACAGCTATTATCTGTCAGCTTCGGCGCTGTTTGTCTTTATGAGACCGGATTTGTTTGAGTACGTTTTCAAGTACTCGAACTTTAGTAGTACACGTATAACCTACTTTTTGATGTTCAGCAGAAAACCGTCAGACGGTCGCACCTAGCTTGCACTTGTCGTTCGAGTACGTTTCCCTTCGCAAGCGATATCTACCATCAGCATGGAGAAGTGAGCCGGTTTCTGAAGCTTTTGAGACAACATTCACGATGACAACAAGAAGGAGGCGGCGAGCGCATGGCCGTGATGCACAGCGGATATGAAGAACTCCACCGAAGTGAATCTTTCTGTTCGTATGCTCTTCTTGTGCTCAATAGGGTGTGCGAATACTCCTCAGTAGGATTCGATGCAAAAATAAACATTACCGCAGGAACGAAATCTAGGTTGGTGCTCTCCGAGCTCCGCATGTAAGGTGCGGCGCGTTTGTGCGAATCACAAGCAGCCGCCACTGTGGGTATTTCCCTAAGTGTCAGCGCCGCTGCATCGCATCCTGGTTGCTTGCCGATTGCTGAAGAGCGACGACACATCGCGTTGTACATCATTCTGATTCCCAATCAGTGCTGCTCCTCGTAGATGTCCCTGCATTCACCACTCATCTCTTTTCCTCATCGATGTGCTGCCTCTCCCCTCAATTCCTCTCATGGGCGGTGCATAGTACTATAGATTCTCCTCGCCCGTAGACACGCATGCTCTTCATTTCCCACAGCTCTCCGTGAAATGTCTGACTTGCACCAATGGTCATCTTGGTGCTCGTTTGACGTCCGACGAATTCACTCGAAAAGGCTCTGTGACACGGTTGTACTATTCCATTCATTGGCAGGTGCGGCAGCATCGATCCTGATCTCTGATAAAGATGAACACGGTTCGTCAGGTAACACACATGCCCATTCGTTTCCAAAGAGGAAGAAAGAGTGCTGGGAACGATTTGAACCACTCGTCGATGAAAAGTGTGAATGTCCGCACCCAGGTCGAAGCCTTCCTCAAGACTTCACGAGCTCGTGCCGGAGGCAACCATATCTATGACCTTGCCTAAATTCTGTTGCGACAAAGCAATGTAGAATTCTGCAGATTGTGATCGTGTTTCATACTGAATTGCGGTTTCTCTGCAATGAACCCCTTTCCAGCACTTTCGTGGCGCACCCTGTACTCAGGAAGTTCCCTAAACCACAGTCATGCTTTTCAGATCACGCCTGTCACTCATAAGAATGACCGCTGATATAGAATTTCTCACAAACATGAAATATGTAAGTTTGTTTTCCGCAGAAGTGGCTCGCAATCGTTTGATTGATCAGTTGACTTTCAGGTTTACGTGAATAAGGATGAACGGAGAAAGTACTTCTCCAACGTTGATGAGCTGTGGCTGTTAATTATTGACTGTAATGATCAGATCACGGAGGGTTTCCTCCAAATCGAAGAGAAGCTGTTCTGCGTAAGTTCTCCTATCATTGTTGTGCGTAGCCGCCGGAGGGCAACGGGCGCTCACTCCAGGAGATCAACTTCTTGACCCTCCAAGTGCACCTTACGACTCAGTGTTACCGAAACGTCGCCGCAGTGGTTAAGGCGTTCACGAGCCGACATCCGAAAGTGACATTGCGACTCGAAATCCATGCTGAGAAGAGTTCCATGGTATGTTATTCTTTTTGGAATGGCACTAATGACGGTAAATTGAAAAAGCGCAGATTGGAGTTGTGGTTGGAATGCACCGCCTGGACCTCAATGTAGTGTGCCTCAGGTTCGGACAAAATTGAAAGCTTCGCTTCCTCCTGGCCCAATTTTCCCTGCCATTCGATCTTCTATTGTTTGGATTGTGAAGCTATTTTGACCTCGGAATCAGTATCAAGTTCCACTGTAGATCAGATTGCGCAGATAGGGAAATGGTGACAACCACACCACAAATTTCCGGTTCAAACTCAGAGATAAACCGTCTGTTTGATTTTGAATGCGAGATGGTTAGACAAGCAGTCGCAGTGATTTCGCGCTAACTTGGAAAATATGCTTGGGATGGCAGTGGTCAAATGGTGTCCTCCAGGAACAATTCTTTCGGGTTCCTCCGGTAGACTTGATAAAGGTTCAAGATCCACCTTTTGTGGTGAATTCTCAGCCTGCTTTGAATGAACTCAGAGAGCTTACTATCATAGTTTTGTAATGCTTGGAATGTTGAAGCATTACTGCTCCTCGTTGAATAATCGTTGAACCTTTTTTGTCAGATCTGACTGGTCAAATGGGTGTTTTGTCAAGCTCAAAAAGCAAAGCAAGTAGATCGGCTCCGTTAAAGTCCAGGAAGGACCTTTCCAATGCTATTGCAAACGACAGAGTTTACGAAAAAAGTCCCCGAATAACAGGGGTGGGAGCAATTCGTATGATTCGTTCTCGTTGACCGGCGAGAGTGGGTTTTGCTGTGTGGAAGGTACAGGTGCAGCAATTTATACGACGGCCTGCAGATGCGTACTGATCTACAGGTGGTTTTTTTCCTGAAAGCTCTTGAATCCTTCTGGGTGGCAGGTAAAAGGAGCGCACTGTGCACCACACGGACGGCGCTTCAATCAGCTTTCCCAGCAAATGCGTTTGCAACACAAAATCTGCCGCTCCCGTGAGACCATCCAACTAATAGTTGGATTCGTCTGGAGAAATGAGCCCACAAAGACGCGCAGAGTCAGTTCTATGATAGGATACAAGTCGATCTCTCGCGTGGTGCTGTCATAATGGCTCGAACTCTTTACAGCGGAGATTTAATCCTCTCCGACGCACGCACGGCTGCTGTCGATCTTGACGTCGCCGTGCTCTGCGCGAAAATGGTTCGAGGCAATTGTTACATTATATGGCAGATCTTCTGTAGTGCTTCCATACGCACGTCCTCCGGGCCCCTATGGAACTAGGCAAGTTTTGGAAATGGGAACCGCAGATTTGACCGAGTGGAATCGCACATTCAACTCTCGTCACACGACAACAACGATTGGCTGCGGTATGTTTCCAGTGGCGAAGACAAGTGGATCTGCTGCATTAATCACAAATGAAAACGTAGTGGCTCGTAGTTGACGAAGCCAGTGTTTCACTATCTCGGACTGTCATTTTTGGGAGATCGGCAATGCTGTTTTGGATTTGAGACAACATCATCCGCGGGTGACGCTTCGCCTGCAGAATCGACGGCGACATCTGCCCTTCGCCAGCGATCGAAGCAGTTGCGATAATGTTCCACGACAAGTCAATCTGTTTCGCGGCAATGCGCCTCCATTCGCGTTTTCAATCCCACGCCAGAGTTTCTCGAGGCAGGCTGGATCACAGCTGCCCATCCGCTGTATTCGGCAGCCTGTCCCAAACGATTTTCGCTTTTACTGTTCATTCGCCCATGTTCTAGAGGACAAAAGGCTCAACGATGAAAAGAACTCAGATCTGATATACAAATATTAGAAGAAGCTCTATAAGCCTAATAAAGACAGCAGATGGCGATAGTGGTTACGAAGTGATCCTTCATAAATTTAAACTTCGTAAATATTAATCGTAGAGCACCCACGCCCTCTTACGGGGCTCGCTGTGAGGGCTTCTAGACGTTGGGTTTTGACTCCCGGAGCCCGTGCCTCGAACGTATTGCTATTCCCACAATCCTTACTTTATTTTTGCAAAGTGAAATAACTGTAAATGAATGCACCGAAGTGGATCAGGTTTTTCGTTCAGATCCTTGCTCAACTCCTCGAATTGCCTTCGGTCGTTTTGCGCAGAATCAAGCTTATTTGCACCGAATTTGACCTGCCATTGCTTCGTTTTGCCGAACTGTACAGAGTTATGAAAGAACGGAATATAAGAGCAAAAAGTATTGTTGTCAGGTGAGTTTTGTTCAAAGTTGGCATTACTTGTCACAGTAGTTCTCTGCTTTCGTGCAAGCCCTATTCTTCGTACTGTTAGTGCGGGCTTAAGCTTGAAAACGCTGATTATAACACAGGAAAGCCCTCTCGCACCGTCTTGTAGTCAGTTATGCACTCAGATAGCCATCCGTTTCTTCCTTTCTCTGGTCATGAAGAAGAGTTTTTCATTGAAAATTTTATCATAGCGCTTTACAGCGATGCCGTCTCTCTTCAAACTACTACTGTGTCATAAGTTACGTTACACTTGAACCCCAGAAGCTCTTTTTCTTACCCATTTGTCTTTCAAAGACAAAAGCACCACAATTTCGCTCCGTTTCAAGTGGCAGATCCCTCGTTAAAAAGTCTCTGATGAGGCGGTTGGCAAATGATAATCGTCCCAGCAATCTCCAGAATTGTCTTCTTGGTCTGCTACCTGTATCCGTTGAGTTCCGCTCTTGGGGGAATGCCTTTCACGTGCACCTTTGCCAGGTCATTTCAGATACTCAAGTATTTTCGAAAGCTTCCAGAGATTGGACAGTCCTGTTCGACCGCTGCACTCCCGTCACAGCCTACCCGATCGACACGCTCAGAATCAGCAGCTGCACTGTGGAGTCAGCCGACGATCTCATCGAAACTCTTCGGCTTACAGCTCAGCAACAGGTCAGATGAGTCTTCCATCTATCGAGACCCATAGGAATGAAAATAGCTCTTGTCAAAAAGCAAGAAAAACACCAGGTACAGCCGCTTGATGCGAAATGCTTCTACTAATGCGTTGAACGATAATGAGAGTGACTCGCAAACTGCCGCGTGGGACGGCCCAGTTTCGCGGGCGAGGCCTCACATTCATGGATTCTGGGTAGTGGGTGGGTAAGACAGAAAGCATGGGTACGACAGAATATTTTCAGCTCTGGTCAGTGCGTAGGGTTCTTCAGAGGGGTAGTAGTGGAACTGCGACTGAAAAAAATGTGTAATGTTTACAAAAACCCTAAATTCTTCGCTGCAATAGGGACGTCGAAAGCAATTTTGTCTCTAATTGAAACATACATTTAGACATCCATAGTTCTGTCTCCACTTCTGCTTTCTTCTTAATTACATGTTTCAGGAAAAGAAAAGAGGGCAAAGAATTTGTTGAAGGGAACACCTTTTGAGGCTCGGAGAACCTTAGCTAAATTGAAGCACATCTGCTTGCGCGTGAGTCACAACGTTCTTTATCAGTTAGGCTAAGACCTGCTTCATAAAGTCAAATGAAAGAATTTGGGAAAGCCGCGCTCTCGCGAAAAAACATACAATGGGCACAGGAAAAGTCCCGCACGGCCTCCCGTGGCGCGCACCAAATGTCCTGCGCTCACCAAGGACGTAGACGAAGCGGGCGTCCTTGAATGACTAACATTTATTTTTTCACAAATTTATTCCTTCTGTCGGTGTTATCCTCCCCTCTGCTTCGACCACCGACGGTATCTGCGCGATCCTCCGCTCCCCCATTACTTTATCAGGCAGACACAGTCCCTCTCTTTCGAAATGCCCAACGAACGATTGACGTGGATGGCTTTCGTTGTTGTGTTTGTTCTAGCTAATTTATTGCACGGATTTGTCTCACCTATTAGCTGAAATGGAGCTCGTTTCCAGATGCCCAAAGTTAAGCGGATCACTCGACCTGCTGACGGCGTTATCAAGCCCAAGCCAACGAGCGAAACCACTGAGAAGCCAAAGGTATTTTGAGTTACCTTCCATTCAAAGCTCTGCCGGGCTAGCTTCGAGAATCCTTGCTTTGCTAACATTCGCTCTTGACATTTACTTTCAGATAAAGAAAACGACCGTGCGGAAAAGAATCTTCATCAAGAAACTGGAGCTGGCCGGACAATGTACACTACGTGGGCTTCAATTTTTGCAGGTCACTTTGTGTTTCTCCATCAATACACATGAATTTTGAGGGTAATGCAAGAGTCATTGACTCCACTTATCATTCATGGTGAGGGAAGGGAATATTGACCTTCGATTCCGTTGTGTTCGACAAGTGACTTGAAGAGTTCAAGAACACCGCATTTCGATTTTGACTTGTTTGATGAACTGCATTTTGCGACTTGCCCAAAATCCAGCGGTATTGTGATGACTGCGTTTTGGCTCTGTTGATTCCGCAACTCATTCAATTTTTCGTGTGGTGGTCAAACGTCACAACAGATGAGAACCATAGTGGAATTCGTGGCGCATACCTAGGGTCGGTTGATTGATGCCGAGCGCTTGGATATTTTACTGCTTCAGAACTGAATTCTGCATTTTATGGTCAATCAATATTTGGGGCTCCTGTACATAACTATTCCAGAATAAAGCTCACGAAGAGTTGGTGAAACGCTTGAAAGTGGCCGTGCCGGAGTTGGTGGTGAATTGTGAGGACATCTACTACTGCTGGTGATAGCCACCATCGCAACCGCTTCTTCCACTCCTTCACAAACACCTGGCTGTGTGAACTCCGCAAAATATTTTCATTTCTAATTTGTAAGCTCCAAGCTGTTCTGTGTAGACTCCAATTACAATTATAAAAATGTGCAGATTATCAGCTGTGATAGTGCGCAACTTCATGTAGTCGCTTTGACAGAGCCCGTCTTTGTCTTTATTTATTTTGATTTTCCTCTCATATTTTGTGGTGAATTGAATTTTTCTCCATTTCTCAACGTGGCGGGTTGTCTCATAGGTGCTTGTCTTCGTTGACCATCTGAGCCCTAACATTTTTATTCCGCAATTGAGTCGCTTCCCATTCGTTCTGGGCGCATATTTTGATGAATTTGAGTTGACAGATTAGCTAACGATGTATGTACATAAATGTTAATGTCATACAAGATGGGTCTTGTGTGTTGCTGATTGCGAATGAAGAAATAATCCACATTATGGCATTTCCTTTGATGCAGAGAAAACGTCCAGTTCTGCTCTTGGGTGCAGTCAGCAAAACTGCGCGATGATTGAAGGTCACCGTTGGGCTTAAAAACCAACCCCTCTTCTTGGGCTTCGGCTTGGGCTTCATTAAGCTTGAGCTTAATTCTCCGTCGTGAGAATATTGAAGTTTCCCTAAACAGACGTGACCTGAACTGAACGAAGGAGCATACAGCCTCTACAAAAACGTGATGAACTGGGCAGCTGTAGGCCGGAACTGACCATGAGTTTCTGACAGATGTAAGGTTTGATAACCAGGATTCGTACGATGTGGCAAGAAGTAGCAACCTTTTCGCTGAGCGTGAAAAGCAAGCAGAAGAAAAGATGGTTTATTTGACAACCAAAACTAGGAGCACAATATGGGAAAACGCTAGTAATGGAGAAACGGAGCGAGTCGTGATTGGCGATCTCGAGGGCCACTACCAAACACGGGTCTACAGTAGTGCACTGGGCGAACTGTTCTTTGACGTAAACCACAAATGGCTCTACTTTGAACCACTGTAGCTCCTCCAACTCACTAAGCCGATGAGGCTCCATTCAGCGAGCCAATAAGTCTATCACCAGAGCCACTCAGGTTCCCTATAACAAGCCCATTCCAGGACCCTTTTATAGTGACATTCCCGCCCGAATTGTTTCCCTCGGGCAAGGTGGCCCATCATTGCAAACTGCGACCGAGTACTACTGCCTTCCTCACGATATACAGCATGCCACGCCTGGATGATCTCTCGTTATGGGTTATGTCGCGTCTCCTGACATAGGAAACCATTCGGGAGATCACGAGGACATTGTTACTGCCATGGGTGACATTTTCAGCATTTCTCGGTTATGGCTGCTGAAATGAACGGCGCTTCGAACCAAAAGCTTTCTGAGGGGCCCTCCTCTGGCTGAAGTGCGCTGGTGGTGATGTGCAAAATGATTACTCTTTCCAGCACTCAGTTATTTGCTCAAAGTACATGTCCCTTCTTTTGTGGACACACGCTTCCAATATTGAAAACTTCAGACTTTACTAGAGTTTCTGCAAGATTCCGTCAAATTATGAACGCATACCTTTTACTGTCGAATGGCTCTTAACCACCAAATCCTAGGAAGGTTACGTAGGTTTAGATAAGCTTCTGTCATGTGCTTTTTTCTCGGTTTGGAAGGAGTTTGGTGGGCTGTCACGAGAATCGCAACCTCATTCAACACTGGGAGTACTGTAGCGCCACGAATCCCGTACGACTTCTTTTGTGATGTAATGGGATCAATTGCAATTCCACTTCATGCATTGATTGAATTACGGCGCTAGTAGTGAACGACTGAAGTACGTGTAGAAGCGTGAAGGGAGAGCTGAAGTAGAGCGACAAGTGCTCAATGGGCCGTTAATCGCTCCGAGCACCCTTTCCCTCCCTACCTAATCACGCCTGGTCCAGGCTCACGCTAATTCTGCCTTCATGTTCTGAACGCCCTTCTCGCCTCAGCATTACTAGTTCCAAAACCTTAAGACATACTCGCAACGTGCATTTTCATGAGCACTTTTCAGCTCGATTTTGATTTTTATGTGCTGTAAGCTCGCCATTTGTTGCAGCTGTCTTGCAGCTGAATCGACATTTAACTTCTCTGTTGGGCTTTCACCTAACTAGGACTAAACTGCAAGGTACCCTTCAGGCTCGTTTCACTCAGACTCGGAACTAGTTTGCAAAAAAAAATCCGAATTGTGCTGCTGATACTGTTTTGTTTTGTTTACTTCCACTCCATGCACTCATCGCAGAGCGACCTGCAAGTAGCGATCTGAGCTTCGAGGAGAAGACAAGGCAGAGTTTTGTCATTTTCTTTAATTTGCTGCTTTCCGTGTATGCTGCCTTTCAATTAGGTTGTTAACCTTTAAGCTGTGGAAAAATTGCAACTCAAACGTAGCAAGAAAAGCTGCTCAACTTTTACCACTTACCAACATTACATATAGCATCTCTGGTGTTGAGTATATGTATAAGTTGAACCAATGTCAATGGGATCAAATGTGATTTGCGAAACTCCGCTTATAGTTTCTTGAAATTGTAAGGGAACTTTTTGGAGGGAAATCAGGGCCTCTGGCTTGATCCCTTTGAGCTTGAATTGAAGTTTTATTCTGTTGTGTCTGCTGAAAATGTCGCGGAAAGCTAGGAGTTCAAGAGTTGAAATCCTGGGAATCGACACTGCTATCCGTCAAAACACATTCGAGAATGAATAAAAACTTTATTAGGAACACTCTAATGATTCCAGAAATGATAGTATTAAAAGAAAACAGACATAACGAACCCGTGAAGAAAACAAAAAAAAATCCTGACAGCTCTTCGATCTATGCTTTATTGCCGTCTTTGGCTCGCGATCGGAAGCAGATCAGCCCTCGCTCCCATCTATTGGACGACAATGTCGTCAGACATTTTTTCAGAGGCTGTATCAAAAAGTCGCTACTTTCGGAGACTTCATTCATGCAATCTGTCTGTCGTGCAGAAATCAGAAGAACTACTGAGAATGTTTTGCTTCTTGTACTAGCTGTCGAACTGGTGCTTTTCTATGAACTGCGGTAGACAACATTGGGGCAGTTGGTTAATGGCTTCCATAAGTTCGGCTCTCCGCTCCTTTGTGTCTTTTCTCGCCATTCCTCTGCCTAATCGCTTGTTCTCAATGAATTTATTCATTGCACTCGTGCACATCCGTGCCTTTCTTCACTGAAGAGGTTAGGTTGCGGGCAGAATGCCATGGCAATTTCAGAAACTTTGTCCGTTGGCTGTACTTGACAGGCCAATAAAGAGGGAGAAGCGAGAACTCGTCGAGACAATCCGGTCACCTTTTTAGATTGCGCGATAAGGTCCTGGAAATATTACTGAATTTTAGTCCGCATTCACCAAGCAACTGATGACTTTTTCCCGGTCATAATTCACAGCTATTCTCTATTTGAAATGCGCAAACGCAGGACTGAACTGCGATTCAAAGTTTGGAATCATTCTAGAAGGAATTTTACTCTGTAAGATCAATCCACATGCCAGAGTTTTCATTTCCACACAAATTTTGCGTATCTGTCGAGCGCGCTGGAGTAGTTGAAGTGCTGGATTGGTCAGGAGAAATCCGATCTCCTAACCATGAATGCGGTAACAGCGCCACTTATCGCTACCGCATCTGCTCTCTGAAATCATCCTCGTGATCCATGTCAAATTTCGCATTCATAACGCCTGAAAATATCATGTTGTACATTGTCTAATGGCTTATCCTCCTTCGTCGTAAATTATCTTGTGCCGTTCCAGCACAGAAATAATTGTCGTCATATCTCACGCTTAATGAGAGGCTATAAACTACAAAACTTTGTTTATTCATTAATGCCATTACGAGCATCAAACAACAACACAACGCAAAGGCAACTCGAAAGATGACTGGAAAGTGTGTGCATTCAAAATCGACGCCACTCCAATCCAGGGTGAAAATCGTGTCGAGTACGTGGTCGCAGAAGTACGACCCCCCCCCCGAAATCGAGATCCTGGCACGACCCCCTCTAACAGAGCAAATTAATTCAATTAATAATCAAAATAAATCCTGCAAAAAAATAAAAAAAAATCCTGCAAAATAAATCAAAAAAAATCCTGCAAAATAATGTTATGGACGCTTCATCTTGTCATCTATGCACTGTCTTTCATCGCTGCACACTTTTGTGTATTTACTGAAATATCGACTCGAGGAAAGAGGCATTAACTTTGTGTGACCTCAAAGTCAGGTTCGTTCAGAAATGCACAGAAATCCTGAAGGCACGGGGTTGCGATTCAATCTTAATTCCTGCTTGAGTATATCGAAACAGCCGAGTGTATCAATCAAGGCCGATTCAACGGCAGCTGCGGCGCGATTGTCACTGGGTCAGATTTGCTGAAATCCCGAAAAAAACGTCGAAATCTACACCCTAGATGAAAAGGTTGCAT